TTTCTAACGATCGTCTGTCACCCACAAACATCTTTTGTACAAAAGTCTATTAACGAAAAGTCTTTGATGTTTAATAATTGAAGCAAGGTTCCTGTTGCTCTTCACCGTTCTGACAGTGGTTTGCAGCACAGTGGGCGTGATCAGTCACGAACGATTCATAGCTACACTGGAAAACGGAACTGGATATTTTCAATGTCGTCAATTTCAGTCGAGCAATGAACATATTCAGTGGAAACTTGAAAGTTGTAGGATAAAACGTTAAAGGTTGGGGCCTTTTATTAATTACACTGAGAATTCCAGATTGTACCACAACATAATATTGAATAAAGCCATTAAAAATAAAAATAGTAATGTTCTACAATAACCTCTAACAATGACAGTGAATGACTTAACCAATGTAGAGTCTTTTTTATGTAGTCCGTTTCCGAACAATTTTATACGACTATTGTTGGCTAAATAATAAATGAGTAGACGATAAAAAATCACAATTATTCCACAATATAAACAAAGGGGTTCTGCAGAACAACTTGAAATTAGTTTTACTACTCCAACTCAGAGGCTTTTTATTTCCCGCGACTATAGGTATCTGTTTATTGGTAGTTGTCTGTTTTCCCTTTTGACTCGTTATTTTTAATAAATTGCTTGTATACCTACATGGAGTAGACAAAGCTATTAATTATCAAGTTTCACAATATCTTTATCCTATTAGTTCTCAGTGAATAGCTTTACATCATAATGGTTGCTAGATACAGCTAATAGCTGTAAACAATTCGGTGCTGATTTTGAGGAAGGTAAAAGGGTTAGTTTCGATATACTCCTCCTCAATAAGGGAATTACTCTGTTTTACCTGGTTCAGGGAAAAATGACGTTTTGACGCATTGTTGTACATATTCCCACCGTCTTGATGATTTCCCAAGCAACCCAAAAAGGGGAAATAAAGGGGTAAATGCTTTGGTGGCGAAAGGGGAAATAAAGGGAAAGACGCGCCAGAATGCCGCCTTTTTCGCCTGTCCGGGGGAAATAATGCGGATTTTCCCCTTTTCCGCCGTTTTTTCGACAAATTACCGACTTATCGCCTAAATATTCGCCGAATTGTCGCATTTTCGTCTAAATATCCGCCGAACTGTCGAATTTTCGCCTAAATAACCGCTGAATTGTCTACTTTTCGCCTAAATATTCGCTGAATTTTCTCATTTTCACCTAAATGTCCGCCGAATTGCCTACTTTTCGCCTAAATTTCCGCGGAATTGTTTACTTCTCGCCCAAATACACACGTAACTCCTCGGGGAATTCCCCGAAATTTCGCCACAGTTCGCCTATTTTGTTGCCTTGAGAGGTGTTTACTTAATTCCTACCTGCAATACTTAATAGTTATAACCTTTCATGATTCTTCATATAACAGACTGGTTCATCGGAAAGAATGTGTTCAGAACCCTAATATTTTGCATATGTTAAGCTATATCCTTTCACTAGTTGGTGCTCTGTGAATTGTTATTCTTTATTTATGAGTGTTTACTATTATTTCTAATATACAAGCGTGTATAAGCCATGATGTTAATTCAGGTTTCTTCAGAGTAGTCTGGTTGTATGTTTGATTTATAGCAGATAATATCCTCATTATCGCGATCATGATACGGAAACTTCAATGTTCTGATCAAATGCATTTCTTGTGTAACAAAAAATATTTACTCAACTACCTTATCATTTTCAGAACTCATTCCATCAGTGATTCGATACATAAAAGTCAACTCGCCTGTTTCATTTGTAGTCCAAAACCACCTAATTCATTTTAGTCTTCTTGGTAGCGAAGTAAATAAACCTGTTTGTGGTTGCCGAGTTATATCAAGTTGATTAGTAGAAAATAAACGTAGGTTGTTCGACTTGGCTGACTAGACAGGTAGTTGGAGATTAATTACCATTTACTTGTTTCATTTGAGTCAACTTAAAAAAGTGGGCTCGAACAAAAGCCCCTTCACTCCATATGCTCTAACCTCTATAATATTTTATTTTAAGAAGTTACGTTTTGGTAAATGACAGTGGTATGGCGAATTTATCTGATTGTTCATGTCAAGTAACTTTTAGATCGGAAGTCATTTACCATAATTTTATATGGTTCAAGTTCTTAACTTTCATCGACTTAATAGGTCAAACCACTGTTGGATATTGTCTTTATCCATCAGTTATCAAGTTTAAGTTAGAATCTACCATAAAAAGTTGTGCCTGGTAATCAGTTAGTTGTCTGCAACGTAGGGCGAGGCACATATATGCATCTGCCCAAGTTGCCACACCTCATCAGCACAACAAGATGAATAACAAATTCATAGAAGCAGTTACTTTAATGGTGGTAATATATAAAAGATTTCATATAAGGACATGATACAGGGAGAAAGAATTAGTTCGTAGAAATCAAGGTATAAAGTAATTTTAATTTCATGGTAAAAGTGCAGACAGAGTGTATACATCTACTTCATTGTGGTCGATTCTGAGCCATGTCATTCAGTCTCCAACCATTGGCTACGATAGTCACGCGGATCCCAACCAAGTAGTCCGCGTCTAACGACATGGATAAGACCAGAAGTTAGTGACCACAATGACTGATGCCATGTTTTGCTCTGACCACCCCTAACTTTCCTTCAACCAGCATTGCACGTCGCGGTAATCGGTGTTCAGGCATACACCAACACGTGGCTCAACCATCTCAGTCGATGAAGATTTACAACCTCATCAACTTATTTACCATCCGTCTAACCTTACTATTGCTTACTTATCATACCCACTAAACCCACCCTTCTATACCAGGTAAAACTCAGGTCATTAAGAATTGAACATTTTGATGTAGTCTTGTTCTCTGAGCTGGATGGTTTGGCCGTGAAGCTTTAACCGTAATTCTGGACAACATCAGCAGAAACAGTACAATTCTTCATTTTGCAACCCATAAACACTTATTCTAAAATTAAGAGTGAATTTTTCTAAAAATAAGATGTGATTATCAAAATCACTATTGTTAAAAGTTTCTTTCATTCAACACTGAAGGCGTTTAGTATTAAAATATGGACAGTTATAATTATAATCATTAATATGTTCTGGTTCATTTAAAAAAATAGATTTATAGTAATTTTGAGGGAACTATCATCAGATTACTTAGTTGATCCCGCAGATTATCAAAACAATTTTAACGTTTCAACAAAATCTACACATATTGAGATCAAGTACTCCATTTTTACTCCATTTCTCAATATTACCAACGTTTTAACCAGTGTATTCGCTGATATCAAGTAAACGGATCAAACGTTTACTGGCCTAACTAAACTAATTATATATATAAGCTAACTTCCAAGTCACAACAAAAGTACATCGAGCATTAATTCCACAAATATACCTGGTCATCAAAATTGACCAATGTTTTTAAACATCTGAATAAAGTGTTGTGAAGTGCGGAAAGTTCGCATAAAAAAATTACTGAGTTTCTAATATGTGTTTAGATGACAGGTAAGCTAGGTTGGTTTACTGATACTGATTTTACATTTTTTTCTCAACATGCACTCTTCAAACTCGGTTCACAAAGATCACTATCAAGGTTTATCATATAGCATTTATGTCAACAGTTAGGGTTACTAGCATGCATTCACTTTTTATATTTATAAACAACCATTACTTATTTCATGGTCCAGTGTATAACAAACAAAGGAATTTGCGGGTTATCCTGATGACTGATACTTATGAAACTAAAATTTAAATCTAAATGGTAATCCCAAATTTTTGTAATGGTCTAGTGTCCTTTGATCCTGTTTGTTGGCAAGTTATCATACTGTGATTTCTAACATTCATTTTGAATTTGTCACAGGATCAGTGTTCCATTGACTATAGGTTCTCTAGACCGAGAGAGCACTTATTTTTTACACACTCTTCTTCAACACTATGGACATGTGCTGTCTTTTCTTGCACAATTTTAATAAGTGAATTCTAAACAAAACGAGTTCACTTCTATTTTCTGCAAATCATAGGTACTACTTTTAGACAAATCACAGTACAGTTACAACTGTAGAACGAAAATGAATAATTTGTAAATATCAATGCCAAGGTTTGACTAATATTTCCAAATAAAATGAGCACTTACTGTATTGTTTACGATAAATAGTAATCTAGTTGTAATATCTGAACAGATGAACAACCAAAATCCAAAAGTTTCGTGGCTTAGTGTAAGTCGCTTGTTCACAAGTATACGGGCAGTACTCAAACAAATTTAATGACGAAATGTGGCGCATATATATTTGGTGCCTCCTTGTGCCGATGTTTATGTGTTTAAATAAATAAGTAAATTATACAGAGGGACAAAGCAGAATATTTAGTAAGATAAAAATAGTTTTGATTTCATCTATGTCCTCCCACTTCCGTCCAGATGGTTCTGTGTGAGGTACAATCGTGTATGTTCTGTGTATGCTAGTAGGTCTGAAAAAAATGAGTTTTTTTTTTAACTTGAAAGAGTAAAGTTGTCTGCATTTAGATCACATACTTTTTGTACAAGGTACTTTTAGTTGACAAGTAGTATTTGAATGACTAAAACGTGGTTGTTGCATTATATATACTAATGCGTTCAATAAATTAAACCAAATTCTTTAAATTTAGCCAAACGATTTAAGAATGGTAGTGGCAAAAAATCTAAACACGTGAATCAGCTTAGAGTTTCCAACCAAAAATCCTCTTAAGCCAAATTATCAGTAGAATTTTGGAGAACTCAAGTAAACTGTATGAAGAACAATCACCACAAAATATTCTAGTAGTGAGTTGTATGAATTTGGTTTTTTGTACTGTTTTTTTCCAAAATAACGACTACTAAGTACACTACATTAATACGTGAACCTTTTACTTTTGCTCAGACATGGGTGAACACAATTTCCTTACCAGATCTTGACAACTTTGAGCAAGATAAAGCCCTGGCTTTCGCATATTGAGACGGCACAATGCGCATGGTCGTGTTGATCTGGTCGCCAGGCTAAGCTATGTGCATTACAGGAGATCATGATACTCCTTTTATTTCTCCGTGTCAGTTTTTACTCGATCGGAAAAAATCACACTTATTTAATTCTACTAACAATTTGTCTTCAAATAATTGCAAACAACAAAAACCTATACACAACAGTGCCTTATTTCCAAGTATTTGCTCATCATCAGCTAAATTTATTACAACTGAACGTTCGGGAATTCTGATAATCCTGTTTATATTATTGGGCGATATACTCTGTGCAACAGCCAGGTTCACGCATTTATCTGAAAAATTTCAAACAGTCGCTGAAGACAAGAATAGTGAACTTGTATTCCTAAATCCTCCTGCTTCATCCTCAGCATTAAAACCAACAAGATTTACTCGACGAACAAGCAAACCATCGGGTAAATTAGACGCTCGTAAGACTGATATAAAAACGTACTTGAACAAAGCTCGAAGACATTTATCACTTGATGGACAAATGGAAATAAAGTTTTTGAGTTCCGAACTTGTTGAATTTATTTGCCACCGACTTCCCGATCCATGTGCTCGCGCTGCTTATCTTCGTCAACATGTCAGACACGATTTGTGCTTTCGTTTGCCTTTATTGTATCTCCTCCCATATACTGATTCTCGTTTGGATAAACCATATTTGTCGGAATATAAACCTGGAACTTGTAAAGGAAGTCTATCTCATCTCACATATTTACCTTCAGATAGTATTTTTGAACAGTTTCTGACTCCGGTCCATATATGTGAACACAGTCTACTTTCGCTAAAAAAGATAATGGACGATAATTTAACTTCACATTTTGGAATATTTGATGATCTACTAGAAAAGTCATTTTGTGTTAAACCATTTGATTCCCGCCCTAACGTAACAGGAGAATGCCAATGTCAGGAGTGTCAAGTAAGTGTTTTTCGTATAAGCACTTGTTTCTGTATACACGATGACCGTCTAATTTTTCCTATATGGGTTCATTATACTTTGAACACTTAAACTTTGCCTCAACTATGATATAATAATCGAAGATTAGACTTAACCGTCACATCCTAATTGATTGAAGAATGAGTGACTTACAAGTTGATTTCCTGCACTCACATACGATACTTTATCATATGTATTTTGCGGTAATATTTTGTGTATAAGCACGTAATTTTATTACTTAAAATTCATTATTCTGGCTTAGCTGTCTCGTTCCCGATTTCTAATAATTCGAGAGCTTAAGACACTAATATGATCTCGTGAGCATCCATCACTTGTTTATGCCATATCATTGCGTTCATCTCTCACTTAACATTCATTACTTTTGAACGTCTAGAATTTTGTCTTGTTAACTATTAAAAATTGACCGATAATTCCCATTTAAACATTAAAATTAAAACACGAAGTTCAGCGAAGGGATCTCTTTTCAACCAAAGGACGTGTTTACTGTACAGCAGTTCGTTCCGTCCTACTTTATGGCAGTGAAACATGGCCGGTAAGAGTAGAGGATATTCGTAGGTTACTAGTATTTGATCATAGGTGCCTTCGAAATATTGCTTGTATATCGTGGGACCATCGAGTAAGTAACTCAGTTGTTAGGAAACGGGTACTAGGTAAGGATGGCAAATCAATTGATGACGTAGTGAAACTTCATCAGTTGAGATGGATTGGACACGTGTTACGTATGCCCAACGACCGACTGCCTCGACGTGCGATGTCCAGTGGTATAGGAGTAGGTTGGAAGAAAGCTAGGGGCAGCCAGACCAGAACATGACACAAATCCATGAAGTCACTGACAAGTGGACTGAGCCATGTTGGTAGGTGTAGACTACCTGGTTGGAGACCGCGAGATGATAGCAACCAATGGTTAGAGACCCTGAATGACATGGCTCAAAATCGTTTGCAATGGCGCAGGTGCATCCACTCTTTGTGTTCTCCCAAATTTTGATTTCCTTATTCCTCCTTGTCTCTTTTTTTTCCTCTCAAATTTATTTCACTGTATTATACTCTTTAAGTAACATCTCCAAACCCTAATCTTCCTGATTACTGCTTACAATCTTATTACCTCTACCACTATGGGATTTGAATCGACAACTGCATCTCTGTGCTAATGTGGTGTGGCAACTCGAACTGATGTACGTACGTACGAAGTTCTACGTTGTTACTGATTGACTGACTTTTCAACGAATTTATTATCAAGCTGAACAATCGTATATATATGAAAAATTTTTGTTTTTGTATAAGTACTAATTCCGTGAGGAAATGTGAACACAATTAATATAAAAAGGTTATAATACTAGATTACGTAATATGAATAATAACAATAGATTTAGTGAATATAATAAGATGATTAAAATGTTTTGGTTACAATAATCAAAGGTCATAGTGGTGTAAAAATAAATATGGTGATATGATGAGTATTCACGAATAAAACAATGAGAATATAAGACATTAGTAAAGGGGGGAATGCAGTAATAATAATAATAATAATAATAACTGGATAATCAAAATGCTTAAGGCCAAGGTAACGATAAGACGTACTTCTTTTGTACGCATAGTTCTGGTTTAAGCTCCTGGATGGTAAGAGCTTCGGCTATTTTTAAGAGTTGGATACGAAGAAATCTGGGTAGATTTGAACAAATCATATAAACACCCTTAAAATCAAATTGTGGATCTGTAGAATGGTTACAGTCGATTAGGTGTTCAAGTATAGGACTCCTAACTACTTTCCTTTCAGCCCTATAGAACCAAGCTGGGATATGTTCCCGTATCCGAGTTAAAAGCGAGCACTGGCTACGGCCAATGTACCTTGCTCCGCAAGAGCAGATAAACTGGTAGATGCACATAGAGGCGACCAGAAGCGGGAGCTTATCTTTTATGGATACAGAAAATAAGTCCCTACTAGTGAAGGTTATTCGCAGTTTAGCCGCGTTAAATGTTCTTCTAATCGTTGTTGTTAGACGATTTCTGATTACGTCTGATGTTCGATCACCTTTAAATTCCAGACTTATATAAAGTTCTTTCTTCGGGACGGAACAACTAGATTTCTTGTCGCAACTACTCCTATTCATATTATTTTCGATGAAACGTTCTGGGTAACCATTTTTCGTCAAGGTTTTTTTTGAGGAATGCGAGTTCTTCGTTAATGCATTCCGTACTGCATATCTGATGTATTCGAGGTTTCTCTTTCTACTTAACGGAACCCAGCTATAGAAGTTGGTTAGCCGGCCATTCCATGTTTGTTTTCTGAAAACGGATCTCTTTAAAGAACCATTACTCCACATCAGAAGTACATCGAGAAAAGGAATTGATTGGTCTCGTTCCCTTTCTAACGTGAAGTCTATGGAAGGGTGGCATGAGTTAAAGGTGTGTAAAATATCATCTAAATCAATATTATTGTCACAAACGACAAACGTGCCGAAGCTATTACCATCCAGGAGCTTAAACCAGAACTATGCGTACAAACGAAGTACATCTTATCGTTATCGTTACCTTGGCCTTAATTATTTTGATTATTTTATTATTATTATTATTATTATTATTATTATTATTATTATTATTATTATTATTATTACTATTATTATTATTATTATTACTGCATTCCCCCCTTTACCTATGTCTTATATTCCCATTATTTTATTCGTAAATGCTCATCATATCACCTTATTTATTTTTACACTTCTATGACCTTTAATTATTATAACAAAAACATTTTAATCGTCTTATTGTATTCACCAAATTTATTGTTATTGCTATTACTCATATTACGTAATCTAGTATTATAACCTTTTTTCATTAATTGTGTTCACATTTCCTCATGGAATTAGTACTTATACAAAAACAAAAAATTGTCATATATATACGATTGTTCAGCTTGGTAATAAATTCGTTGAAAAGAGATCCCTTCGCTGAACTTCGTGTTTTAATTTTAACTATTAAAAAGCCTCTCTCATTAAAAAAACTGGGCTTAAAAAGGAAACATTTCAACTAAAAGCTTAAGACTTCTGCAGAGAACAATAAAAAAGGAACATACCGTAATAATTGTAATGCATGGGAAATTTGTGAGGGAAAATGTACTTCTCACATTGAGCAGTCTTCACATTAGTTTACGAGAAATGTAAATCAAATCCCTAAGCGTTATTTTTTCTCACTAAAGGAATTCACTTCAAGACAAGCTCCAGTGGTGTACTGAGGTCAGCACAAATATTGAATTGTACTTTTCTCACCCGACTTAATTATTTGTAAAAGCATTGGTTACTCATTTAATTCCAGAAAGGTATCCTTTTGTTTCTAAGTGAAAAAGTGAGATTTTACTAAAGATACCGAACATATGTCTTCCAGTAATTGCAAAAAGTATCCTTTTAATCAAGGTGTTATAAACTTAATTGCTGTACTTTTTAGATGTGTTTGGCCACCCGAAAATCCCAATAAGTAATCTCCAAAAGAATTAAAGTTTGCCTGTGCTTTATTATATCTGTTTGCATGAACGTTTATGTTATTACTGAAGTTTCGTATTTTAATCAACACCTGACATTTTAGCGGTTCCAGGTTCACTACTCGATCGACTAACATTGTCTCCTTGACTAGAACCTAACACTAGAACACTAAAACCTAACTTTTTTAGCTCAATGTTTCTTTCACATACGAAGAATGTTTGAATGACACCTAAGATCGAATACCGACAAGCCAGTATCTTAAACATTCAATGATCATATCTTCTAGTGTTTAACTAGGTCAAAGAATTATTTTCCTTGGATAAAGTTTACAACATATCAAACAGTCAGGTTTTCACTCAAGCTGTTCAACAGATCCTACGACCTCGTCACCTTCATATAGCAGGACTTTATTTTCTGCTTATTTAATCCAACTCGATTCAATCAAGCGTTAATCGATAGTCAGGCAAAAATAAGTTACATATATATGATGAGTAAGATAAGAAATACACACACATACTCTCATATAAAACCAATCAAGGTTGATAAACGAGTAATTGACAAGGTCAAAATGTGACTCAAAAAGAATGGATAAATTGGTCTGTCCAGAATAAGTTATATGGGCCTAGCATGGTAAACGACACTACAATAAGCAGTTTTTAATATTATTTATCCCAAACAATTTGTGAAACCTTGGAGTTTAGACAAACTCTCAAAGCTATATTGTTTTAACTTTGTTTAGAAGTAAGCTATCAAAGGCCTTGAACTAACGCGATATAAAGTTTTTGTAGCTCCCATCCACTTGAAGTAGTGGCAGTTAGGTTCGTGTGCTGATAATATCTCAGTCTCTCTTAATTGCCAACAGGTTCCATTGTAATCTAGGCTATAATATTTTTTCCATTTTCCGTAAATTACTTTGTCATAAGAATCAGTATTAGGTATCCTTTAATTTTCGGTTGTCCCCGCAAGTAGTTCATGTAACCTGTTTGTAGTACTCAATTTCATTCACCGTTTTCTAGCCCAATATTGGTTAGATTATACTGTAGGAAATAAAGAAGCATTATTGAGTTTGCATGCAATGTGGCATAAGACCCTGCTAATTTCTAAAGTACGTATTTATTTATTATTTATTCTTCGTCTACCTTGAGTGTGTCGGCAAAGTCGATTGTTTTTCCCGTTTTAGAATATGCTACTGATTTTTACAAAAGTAGAGTAACAAAGACGAAATTTGATCTGTGCTTCTTCCAAGCTATACGTTTTGTGCACTCATAGTGGGATTTTTCAAAATTCTAAACATTAAACACTTATTTTCTAACTTTTTACGTTCTAAACTGTAAAATACCTTTTTTATTAAATTAGCTTGCAACCAATATAAATCACTTTCACAGATCTTATGATTTAGTGAAAAGATTTTCATTATTCTTCTCTTATGTAGTACACAAATTTATGTTTCTTAGGTGTTCTGTTGGTTGAGTCTTCCTACTTTTAACC